TGAGTATTGAATAAATAAAATAAATAGAACAAGATAAACTGAAAAATTCAATAGAAAATACAAATTAAATAAAAGAGAATAAACTAAAAGTGTAGTAGCAGTAGATGAATTCTCCTAATAAAAAACTAAACTACGAACTGAAAGTAGAAAAAGAAAATAGAGACGAGATAAAATAACAATTTTCACCCCAGGCTAAGAAATTGTAATTGTGGGTCGTCGTAAGACCTCTATTTATAGGGGTTTGACCAAGAGAAATCAAGCTTAAAATTAATTACAATAAAATCAAATATTTCTCAAATAAATAATTGTAAAATCTGATTCGCTGTGAAGTGAAATTTCGGGACTGATTTGGAGAAAATAGTCTACGTCTTTCATATTTTGAGTGATTCAGAATTGATTTGCATTTAATTCTTGATTCTTGCTGGCCTTTAATTCTACTAGATTGGATTCTCGCACCAGTTAATTTGTTTGATTCAAAATTTTTATTTGTAATATTCTGTAAGTGGACTGCAAAAGTAAACTTGGGCTTCTAAGAAGAATGAAACTTGACGACTTTAATTTTAACATTTCTTTCCATCATTTTGACCAATATCAAATTATCTCTTCTACAAAAGAAGAAAAAGAAATATGCAATATGAATGTATACATGTATATTATTTATAATACAAAAACTTGGTAAAATGCAACAAATTAAGAAAAACTGAATTATGCTATACTTTTAATGAAAATATATTAAATGCATAAATTATAAATAAAATAACTAGCTTAAAAAAATATTTTTAGATAAAAAAATAAAGAATAAAATGACATGAATAAGTAGTTAAATGTTGATAGCTATTCGATAGATGAAAAAGTTGATGAGTAATGGAGGATTTACCGAGAAAACCTTGGTAAAAGCTTTCAATTTGTTGGTAAACGATTTGAACCCTTATCTACATCTCTCACTTAAGTGAGACAGTAACATCGATCTCTGTGTTTGGTTTAGCAAGCAATAAGCTTTTCTTAAAGGAGTTTTTCGATCTAAAATAAAATTGCTGTTTGACATTGCTACTTTAATTGAGAAATTTACTTAGTTTAAGCAAACAATTAGTTTAGCTTAAACAAATGATTGATCTAAAGCAATTTTTCTTTTCCATTTTCTTGTTTCTCTTTGTTTAAGTGAAAGAATCGCTTGAAGAGAGATTCTTCTATTACCTGAATGTAAGGAAACATTCAGAGAATACATCAGAATACTTAATTATTTATTTTCCTAAATAAATATTTAAAAGATTCTATTCATTTAAATTTTTAAGAACAATAACATTATATATCTTCATAATGATTGTTTATAAGACCATTATCATAAACACAAGCTTGAAATCAAGTCTGGTGAAACTTTAGGTGAGAGTTTTCTTTATAACGGAAAATTAGTTAAAGTTTAAATGGTAAAAGGAATACCAAGTTCTTTGATTTATATTGATATGTAGGAGGAGTAAATTACTAATATATTTAGGTGTTTGGATAGAGAGATTTTATGAATAAGTCGATCTTTTCTTTATTTTGAAAAATGTCTACAATTGTCATAGTTTTAAATTTAGTTATATTCTACAAATTTATCACGAGTTGGTAAGATCTTATCAACTAGATGAGGTTATAAGGAAGTTTTACACTTTGTTAAGGTTTGAATATAAAATCGTAATCTAACACGTATTTGTATAGCATATATAACATGAAGTAGCATACTACATGAAACAGAGAACACGAGACTTTCAAGATAATCCAAAAATCCTCCTTAGAAACACATGTGTTTCTTGTCATATTATATCATAAACTATAATTAATTATCACTTTATTAATAATTCAATTCAACATAACTTATTTATTTAAAATACATTTTAAACTTGACTTCTTAATTAGAAATTTATTATTTATCTTATAAATTATTTTCCTATAATTTAATTATTAAAATAATTTATTATTTTAACTCATTAGATTAAAAATAATAATAAAGATATATAAGCAGTCTCTAATTATTATATTTAGAGTAAGTGATTTTTTTTTATATGTATATATATATATATATATATATATATATATATATATAATTAAAAAAACTTAAAAAAATGCTTAAAACAATTTAATCGAGAGTTGTTTATGGAAATATTATGATAAAATTTAGTTTATGATAAGGATCAAATTGAATTTTAATGACAATATATAATGATATTGTTCAAAATAAAATAAAAAAATATGAAAAATGAGAGTTACTTTAAAAAGTATTTATTAGTTAACATTAAATTATTAAATGTACTATCATCAAGACTATTCACCCATTATTTATCAAACCCCACACTTAGCTAGGTGGAAAAATAGTAAAGTCATTAATGTATAATTTTGAAACGATAATTTTGGGTATTCTTTTATTATTCTGTGGTGAGATTAAAAAAAAAAGAATTTGTGTATTGTTCCAATACCTTTATAAATCTCATATATTAGGATTCAAAATTAAGAATAGTTTTTATACTCTATTTTCTTAATTTATTAAAATATTTTTTAAAATAAAACTGTAATAAGTTATAAATATAAAATAAATAATATCTCAATCATAAAAATTATTCTTACAATAATATTATTGTAATATATATTAAAAATTTTTATTTTAAACTACACATGTATTATTTTTAAATATATATCCACACTCATGCGATAATCAGTGGTTGAGTAATATCCAATTTGATCAAATTCAACTGTATTTTTGACAAAATAATTAATATAATTATTTATTTTTAATATAATTAATATAATTAATTATTTTTATATAATTAAATTTTTTATTTAATTTTTGTATATTAATTATCTATTAAATATTTAATAAAAATCATATATAATAAAAAATATATATAGAGATAATTTATGATATATTACCTAAATTCGGTAAAGGAAAAATTGCTTAACATGGCCACTTTGATTATATATTAATCTAATATTTATTTTTATAATATTTAATAAAATCAAATTTTGTTATAATTAAAATTATACACATTAATATTTATATTATTTAATGATTTTCATAATATGAAATCAATTACTTATTTTATTGATTAAATATTTAACTATAAATAATTAATATTATATAAAAATTATATAAAATATTTTAATTATAATAAATATAAATATTTATCATAATTATTATATAAAAACATTTTTTTAAGTACATGTAATCTAATTTAACCACATCTTCTAGATAAAGAGATTTTATTATTTTATTTGGGATTCAACCTAATCCAATTTCATTAAATTTATTAAATAATATTTATTAAAATAACTTTAACAATAACAATATAAATGTTATTTAGTTTATTAAATTATCCTACTAATTAAATTTTTATTTTTGAAATAAAAAATTATTAAATTATTTAAATATTAAATAATGTAACATATTTTTAAAATATGTATTCTAGAAAATTGAAAAAAAATCACAAGTATTAATAAAAAAATGTTTTTATAATTTGTAATCTGATTAATTAATTTTATACAACTAGATAAAAAAATATATTGAATAGGATAAAAGTGAATTGATGAAAAGAATAATTAATTCAATCTAATATTTTGATTAAAGTAAATCATGAGATCTCAACTCAATTCATACCTGACCTGTCTCTAACATATAGTCTGACAACCATGAGTTAAAAATTTCACTGTGGGGTTGTAATATTTTATTAGTAAATATGAGTTAAAAAAATTATGATAAATAAAATATATTATTTTAATATAATTTTTTAAGTTAAAGTTGTTTAAAACAGATCAAAATTATTTATGCAAGAAATTTAATAAATTTAATGGTGAAACCCACGTTAAAATAATATATTTAATTTTAAAAAACTCTTTTAAATAACTCTTTCAATGTTTATGCGTTAAAAGTTAAAGACGGGGTTGCAATATTTTCTTACCAATACTAACATGCGTTACAAGTTAAAGGTGGGGTTCCAATGTTTAGCTATAGCGTTAAAAGTTAAAAGTGGGGTTTAGAGTTTTTCCAACCAGACTCGTTACAAGTTAAAGGTGAGATCTTGTTAATTTGAGTTATAATCATCTATTTTATATACTTCATAAACGGGTTTAGGTAAATAAAAGTAATATCTCACTCACATTCAATTAAGTAAATTTAAACTTCACAGTGTTTCAGAAATCCAACCTGCATTTGGTGGGTCTAACAAATTAATATGCAACATTGTAAGAGGAATATTTTCTGACAAATAATAATTATACGACACTCAGTTTCGTGCAGTTACACTGTTTATCACAATTAAATATGTATTTTTTTAAAATTACTTTTTAGATATTTTTTAAATAAATAATTAATATACAAATTTTTAAAATACACCAATTTAATTCTTTTATAAATTTAATAAAAAATTATAATTATTATGTATATCTAATTATTTTATCAACTTTATAATAGTTAAATACTAAATTTAAATATAAAGACAATTAAAATATAATTTTTAAAAAATTAAAAAACAGAATTCATTAATATAAAAAAAAAAAAACTGTTTCCTATTATATTATTATAATTCAAAATTTTATGTGTCACATAAAATATATTACTAAAACATTATAAATGCACAGAGTATAATTATTCAAATATTAATATGTACAAAAATGACAAAGATATTTTATTATAGAAGGTTCATGGTTAATTGACAACAAAGCATTCTTCGTTGTCTGTCTTGATAGAGGTCCTTGTGTCTTCCATTTGATTAATGGATATGTACAACCTTTGCTTATAAATACTTAATTAACCTTTAATGTTTCTCCACCGCTTTCTTCACTATCTATAAGATCCATATTTTCTTTTCTCTCATTTGGTGTTGTTTAACAATTAAGGTATTTATGTATAATTTTTCTTTTCATTTACTAAAAAAAAAAGTTATGTTGTTTTTGTTATTTATTTAGAATGTGACTGAAATTTGGTTTATGTACAGAAAATGGATAGGAGTTTTGAGGAAGACAACCTTGAAATGTTCATTGACTGGAACGAGGAGGAGTTCCAATCAACATTTTTACAGACAGACACTCCTTTCACTGATTTGGAAGACGAAAATTTAATGGAACATTTTAATTCTCAAATTGAGTTGCCTCCTCTTCCCCCTACTTCTTCTGTAAGTTCTGAGTTGACACTCATTTTCTACTTTTAATTTAATTTTATAGATCTTATATGTATATGTTGTAAATCATTTTGAAAATGGGTTTTTGGGTACGTATAGTTTTGATTCGAAGAAAAGAAAAAGAAAAAAAAATTAAAACAAATAAAATTAAGGAAAGAAAATAAAAATAGAGGAAAGACTCAGAGATTATTTATTAAACAACTTTTCTATGTTGTTAAACAGAAAAATGAAAACAAAGATATTTTTTGTTGTTGTTAAATGTTTGGAAAATAAAGTAAACACACGGATCTAAAATTATGTAAATATTATCAATACAAAAATAGTTTTTTTTTTTTCATATTTTAATTTACAGTATGTAATAAACCATTGTTAATGTTTCTTTAATTCCAAATAAATTATGTATACATTAAAGTGACCAATATTTTGTTATAATTAATTAAAATTTCTTTTAAGAATCAGCATCATACTGTACATTACTGCACAAGGATGGTTAATGAATAGCTGTGAATGATTGTCAATTTTTATGAATTATCCAGGTTATGGAGCCAATGACCGATCCAACATCTTGGTTTTGCGAGGGATCGTTGGGTGCAGAGAATCTCAATTTTGTTCCTAATACGCTGTCCCAATCACTACCAAACACACAATTAAACAACCCTTTATCATCTGCGGTAAATTAATAATTTTTACTACTCTAAAACACCAATTATTACATCTGGTATATATTAAGTGTTTAGTATATGTCACTTTAAGATGACAAATAATCTTACTTTCTTTAATGCAAAATTTAATTAGGATGGGTTAATGCTTGATGGACCTGTTTCATCTGTTCAAAGCCCAGATATGACCCTAACGGATTACTTCAATCAACTTTCTCACTTGCAAAATGAGAATTCGGTTCCGTAAGTCTTTTCTGTCTGTAAAAATGTTAATGTAGCATGTTTTTACTTCTTATCTTGACTGCATATATGTATATATTCTGCATTCTTATATTGTAGGCCTCAAGATGATGAGAGAAACTCTATGCTTCAAGGTTTGATACCTACCAGAACTGAAAATAATGGTATCGAAATCAATCAACCACTCTCTCATCCAGGATTGGTCCACCCAAACCCTGTGAGTATAATTGTTGAAAAAGCATGTCCCACAACTGAGGTTGCTCTACATACTCTGGAGGCTTTTATTGACCATGGTTTTTTTTTTCAATGTTTGGACTTGTATGCAGGGACAGCCAAGGGCAGGGAATGCCGAACGATCATACCCTAGTGGGCCATTATTTGTCCCAACCCAAACACATGGGTTTTCGGGTTTCAATGATACGAGTAACTCTCATCCTGCAGGGAGTTCTAGGTGCTCTTTCACTTTTTCTACTTCTACTTTATACTTATCCAGTTATGCATACCCACTTAAGAATATTGACCCACAAAAGACATCAAAATTGTATGCCTCACATATAGACCCCACCTTTGTGTCTGTGTAAGGCTTACTGTTTTGCATTTTCCTAATTTTTTAAACTTATAACTAGATATATGTTTCTATGTGTTCCTGATTTGACCTTCATTTGAATTTGAATTTTTAACTTCAGATCTGAACACTTTCAATTATCTGCTAGTGATGGCTATGGTGCACAATACGCACCGAACTACAGCTACACGCAGTACGATTCCATTGCTTAGCTTCTTAATGCAATTTTCTATTAACTGGTGAACAAAAAAATGCATGAGCTAATTGGTTTTTATTCAGGCCCCCACACCTATTCACTTCTGTTCAGAATCAAATAGGCCATACTTCTGAACTGCAGCAGATAATTGCCTTACATTCTCAAGATTCTAGAAGGTCTGTCTGTCTACTCAACATATCCTAGGTCTTTACATGAAATTTACTATAGTTTTACATTGAAAGAGTTAACCATTTAATAGATCAGCATAAAAGATGTGTTTTTTTTTCTTAGGTCGGAGTTGTACTCAAATCTTCAGCCTGGTTTGGTAACAATGCCAGCAAGTCCTTTTCAACAAGGTTATAGACCGGTACTGCCTGATTCTGCAACTCCTTCTGCATCATTGACTAACTATGGTCAAAACCCTAGCCCATCTGCCACAACTCACAATTCATTTGGGTCTGTATCTTCACTGCCTCCAAAGTATGAAATTTTTGGCCTTAAATCTCCACTTTGTTTTTTTGTTTAAGAAATTTTTTTCATTTAAGGTTTTATATATAAATTAAAAAAAAAAATCAAAACTAGAAATGATTGATGAATATTGGATATCTTGGTTTTAAATTCATGTTTAGCATTCATTTTTTTTTCTACATAAGTTCAGAGAAATAATTACATTGATTAATTTATCTTTCTATTTTATTGAATAGTCATGGGTTCTTTAATTTGAGGGAGGAACAAAAATTCCACTTTCAACAACTATCTATGCATGTTAACTTTTATTAATCAAACAGTGGAAATAAATGTTTTTATAGAATAAATTAAATTTAAATGTACTTTTAAAATTTTATAATTATGACACTTTATTAAATAATCTCAATTTAATGTCAATTTTTTTTTAAATATTAATAAAATTCTTTATATAATTGTTGAATTGATATTAAATTTTCATTGAATAAATTAAAAAAAATAATGTATACATATGATTTTTGAAGAGAATAACATAAAAAAAAAAGTTAGTCATGAAGTAATTTTACCTCTTTTATTTGAAACAAATTGTCACATACACAAAATTGCAATTATTTTAAAAAGGAGAACTATATCTTATCAAATTTAGCATTATATTTATTTATGTTAATAACATTATATATGTTATTGCAGATACTCCCAGTTGTATGAAAATCCGGGTCTGCATCATCGTCCCCAAGTCACGATGCCTAATGGTCAAGGACAGCAAAGTGTTGCCTCAATGCAACAGTGGTGAGCAACAATGGAATGTTTTTTACCAAACGATACATTAATTTTTATCTGACATACAATAATTCATTAATTTTCAAATAAAGGTCCCACGGTGTGCCGAATCAAATCATGAGTGCCAATACCACTAGTTCCCAGGCACTTATTTCTAGGCTGCTGGGGCATACAAGTTCAAGGACCCAAGGGACCAGGGAGGCTGAGATTGCTCCCGTTTTAAGGTATCAGATTTTGTAGTTTTCATGCTTTCTTTACACTATTTTACATTATGTTTTAGAAAATAGAATATAATAAACACATTATTTATCTGTTTTCAATCTTTTCATATGCTCCATAAAAGTTTAATAAAAACGTGAAAATGTTTAAACTAGATTGCAGCAAGAGGCAGGAGTTTTACCGAATGAAGTCTCTACCAGTCGCGACGCGGGAAAGGAGCTAGCGACCTCATCAACTAGGTAATTTACTTAAGGTTATCTATGATTTCATTCGCCCTTAATAGTATGTAAAATGAGCAGATTACTCACATGTGCAATTGATTTTCTTTTAAAGTGCCCATCGTAATTTGTAAATAATTGGAGTGGAAGAAAGAGAATGACAAGAGAAGTATATCATAAGTGATAAGTTTAATAAACAGTACTAGTAACATGTTGAATATTAAAAGAAGAGTTTCCCAAGTTGAAGGCATCTTCTTTTGCATTGTATAGTTGACATCTTATTTACGTGGTTGAATGTGTGCATAGGACCCAACCTTCCGAGGCAATTCAACGAATTTTAAATATGAATCCATCACGGATGGTTACTCGGAATTTTCCCAGCATCAGTGAACAAGGCGGGAGCATTCCGACAGAAAGGGTAAAAAAATATATCTTATCTTTTTATTAAAGGCAAACGATGATGGAAATGTATGATCACCATGACTGTGGGTTATAAAAGATTTGAAGTACGGTATTGTGAATAGGGGTACTTGAAATTGTGATCGTGGAATTCAATTCCTGTTTTTGAGTGATAAAATCCATTTCATCATTTGTTGTAATGACAAGACATTAGTATAGTAGTTTCAAAAATTGCCATCCTTGGAAACAACTAAACGTGGAAAGATGGATGTTGCATGACAGGTGCCTTATGTTCCACCACGTCGTGGTCGTCCTCCAAAACGACGCGACCCCATAGAATCGTATCAGCGGGGAAAGGTAAGCATTTTACTAAATCATGCAACAAGCTTTTAATTCTTGAACATGCAATGTATTGTTACATTACATTGGTATTTAAAGCTAAAGAAATTTCAAAAGGTCTACAACGTTCTGGTTGGTTTGTTTTGTGTAGTCAATAAAGGTTTCTACCGGTGGAACAACCGGTACCTCTCAGAGAGCGCAAAGGCCTCAAGGTGGTGTCGTCATCAGAGACCTAAGCGCTGTACTCCCCAACCCCCCCTCTGCTCCAAGGTACACTCCGACCCTCTAAAGCCATTTTCTTTGTCTCTCTTTCTCACCATCCTTGCCCGCGTTGAACTCTCACAACTTGAGACTGCAGAAGAAACTAAAAAAATTCATGATTCTCAAATGTTAGGCACTTCGAAAACGCGGTGTACGACATGGAATTCGAGAGGCAAGGTCAACCCCTTGACCCCCATCTCAGATTATTCAAACCACCGCCAGGTAATTACAATTCTCTAGACCACACTTTACATATATAAATAAAGATATTTATACAGCAGTCGCTAATATGAAGAAGTTTGATAATCTTTTGGCAGCAATTAGCTGTCCTGTTATTCAGCATCATTCTAATGAGTTACTATGAGTTTACATTATGATAAAAAAAAGAAAAATTATATTACAAGCAATATTAGATTCTGATCTATAAAAAAGCTTCGGAATTTATGACAATTGATGCTTTTTTTGTGCAGGGAATTGATGTGGCACATCATCCTGAACGAAGTGTCAAGTACAAGAAATTCTCAAGAGTATAAATATATGATATCAATTCTTGTACTGGATAACTCCTTACTGTTCTGTCCATTCTCAAAGATTAGAAACAAAGGCAATAGTTTTTTGTAATATTATGTGCACATATAAAATTTGATCAAACTAGAAGAACAGAAAGGTTATGTAACAATTTTTTGTGTGCAAATAATACTATGTGGACCTTGCATACCGATGTTGTTTTGTATCTGTCATGAGTTTTGCAAAGCAGTCCCGAGATAGCTTTTTAATTGGCTTGTTTTCAATATATTTTGGACCAATTACCGGCCGACTAAGCCCTAAACTAACATTACTTTTCTCATTAAATCTTAAAGATGACAAAATATGCCAATTTGATCTCTTTATGTATGCTCCATATTAAGACGATCTGGCTAAAGAATGAGTTGACAGGTTAATCCATAAAATTTAAATATTTTTTAACTTTGTTTAAAAAAAAAATTCTCTAAAAGCATTCTTAATCAAGTCAATATCTTATATGTTTTAATTGAATAATTAATGTCTCAAATTGAATGAAGGGAGAAGTTATTCTACATTTCTACACGTTAAGTTATTTAATTATAATCATTATTTAAATTTAACGTGTATGTATTTATGATTTAAATTTACAACTCTATATTACATATTTATATCTTTCAAATAAAGAGTTATAACGTTTTAAATTATAGTCTTTTGAATTTAAATTTTAACAAAACAAGGGTGTAGTGTTGATTCTATAGATATAGAATGAATACTAAGATGAAAGAAATTTCATGGTTTAAGCTTCAATAAAAAGGAAATAATGAGAAAGGAAAAACAATCACGAATAATTATGGAAAGAGAAATATTTGAAGTGAATATCCAATCTTCATGCAATTTACCGTACAAAAAAGTGGACACCAAGAAAGTAAAGAAGGCCCGTTCATTATCAATTTTACCAAGTGGTATTTCAAATATATATTGGAGATTTTTAATGATATAATTAAGTTATAAAATATAAATTAAATATAAATCTTATTTTCTAAGTTAATTATTAAGATTTAATTAAATTTATATTTATTGTATTGAAGTATTTCACAAATATCTAATCTCTATTTCATACATTTATTCCTTAACGTGAGGATTTTTTACTATCATAATTTTAGTGATTTTTTTTTTAATTTGATTGGTATAACTTTTTCCTTTTTGCCCTTCATATACATATACCTGTAAGTGACATAAAAATATTCAAAATCATTCCAAAAAGGAGAAAATCTATTAGAGAAATAACATATCATAATAATATATATATTATTTTGGTTTAATATATAACTCCGATATTAATACGAGACACATGATTTTATGTTAATTATGTAAATAATCAACGTCAATTTTACATCGAAAAAATAAAAAACATACATAAAAAAGTTTCAAGTATTAAAAAATGGTACAAAATTTATGTCGAATATATCAATATTTGACGTAAATTTATGTTAATTATTGTTTGGTTCAAAATAAATTTACTTTTCTTTTCATTTTTTTTAATATTTGATTTGTTTTGTTTTATTACCAAAACCTTACAAACATATTCTAATCACATATAATCCAAATTCTAAATTTTCAATAGACAATAATTCAAAATACAACAATACGATAATTCAAACTAAAAAAGTAAAACTAATACACAAACTAAACTACATAAAAGCTAAACATTATAAAATTAAACTAATACAAAGACTAAACTAGTATAAAAATTAAGTTACCATGCTAAACTAAATAATACAATACAATATAATACAAACAATAACTTACAAACTAAGTACTATAAATGTTGAACTAAAAACCTTGTTCATTATTCTCTAATTTGTGTAATAACATGTTCTGATAGTAAAGATGAATCTTGAAACACCTGACACATTAATTTGACCTTGTTAACATGTAATACAGATAAAGTAAATTAACTTAACAAATATTGAAAGAAATTACCTTCGTCAAAACATCAGTTATACCGACACAAATTATAACTTTCATTCAATACATGATATAGTAGCCACATTTTCTACCATTCACATGTCATCTCAAGTTTCTTTGCATATTCTTTTGTGACAAATAATCTTTTAAATATAGGTATTATTGGCAAATACCATAACACCTTAGTTGAAGGACATCTATTTTTTTCTCACCACTACTTCCATCAACTTTATTTTTGAATCGTGATAAACCACATGTTGGACACATATTTAATGTAACAAAATCATTTTTGTATAATATGCAATCATTAGGGCATGCATGTATCTTCTTGTAGTTTAAACCCATTGAACATAGTATATTATTTACCTCATAATTACGATTAAGTAATGTGTTATCTTCGGAAAATATCTTCTTCAACAACTTTAATAATTCGGTAAAACTTTTATCAGTCCTTCCATTTCTTGTTTTTAAACTGAACAATATTAAAGTTGTTGATAATCTTGTAAAACTATATTTTGGGTACAATTATTGCTCAAAAATAGATTTCAAATAATCATATCGATGTGTTTTTTCAAAAACAAATTCACCAATATCACATATCATATCCTCTAAATTATCATTCATCTTTTCTTTAAAATTTTTTATTGTTGACATAATTGGGATGTCTAATATTTCTTCATGTCATGTCCATATTATATAACTCTTAACAATACCATAAACAAACAAGTGTCACATATATTCTCAAGTTCATGATGAATTTAATTGAAATAACGAATGCATGGACAATAATATGTCTCTTTGATAGGTTTTCCATTTTCATGAACAAATTTCAAAACTTTTTTAACTCCCTTTCCGTACTTATTAATACAACATGCATTCATCAAACTCTGATCTATACCTATCTATGTTATAAATTTTTGTCATTCCTAGAGATTCAAACACAAATTCATATTAAAAAAAAAAAAAGACAAAAAACAAAAAACGTGGAATTCAAACAACTAAACTATGAAAACATATAAATGCAGTGTATAAACTGTAAATGTAGTTAAACGAATAAATAGATAATCACAAATTACAATAGTTCAATTTCAATAACAATCCAGTAGAAATATTGATATCCCCAAAAACAATCACAGATTCAATTTGAATATAAAAGAGGAGACATAGAACACTAACTTTCAATATATAAAAAATGTTCTAAAATTCGAATTTAATCTTTGAGAAATGTCAACTATCACAAATAAAACACAATATAATATAAGTATTTTCATCATTCACTATAATCAAAGTATACCTTAAATGGTGCTGGAATGGTCATTGTCACCATTGTCTTGAAAAAATCATTGCACAAAAAAAAAAATCCTAAATAAAAATAAAACAACTCTTATGTTGATCCTAGGAGGACCGATCTTCGTAGGACCAACATAAAAAGTTACGTGTATGTTTTACTAAAATACTACTGGTTTTTTTTTTAAGTCAAATATTTATGAATCCGATGAAAAATAATTAATGTAAAAAATCCGTCTGGTGACCATTATATACTGAGAAAAATATATTTACGATAAATTGCACAACATTAGATAATTAATTTCATGTTTTTGCTACTCACCGTGAACGCACTAAATTGGCACACACTTTTTTAAGTAAACATTTTTATCTTTTTATATTTTTTAGTTTTATTTATTTTGGAGAAATTTTATTTCAGCTTAGCAGGAGAAAAAATTGGTGAATCCCAAAAAGGTAATGTAATCAAATTCTTGTAATTTTCCTTTATACTCTTGCTGTTTTAACAATGAATACTTTTTTTTTTCTTTTTCATTCAACATTCTCGGTGACCATATCTATCTATTAGATTTCACTATAGCTTCACTCATGCACCCCAATTACGATTTTAGTTTGTTTTTCTCCCAATTGATTTATTAGTCCATTATATTTGTTGATTTTTAGGACGTGCTCCCTCTTAAACTGTTTTTAGTCAATTACTTTTTAGGACTTGATCATTCCCTTAAAATTAGGTCTTAAAATTTTTCTAGATTATATTTCTGTATGATATATCTGGAATTAATAACTCTTTGATAAAGATAAATATGGATGACTAAAAGGGATTGAATATTAATTAGTATAGATCCTATGGAGTAATCAATTGGAAGCAAACTATAGTTATAAACTTTATTTTTATGACTTGATACAACCTTGAAGGAGAGAATTTAATGACTATAAGAAGGAGAGATTTGAACTCCAAATATGCATGCAGTGCTTAACAGAAGAAGGAACCAAAATTCCATCCATGAGTTAAAAGTCAACGGAGTTTGGAAATTGAAGTTCATGAGGTTCGGCGGGTATTAAGGTACCTTTCCTTTCCATCATGGTATTGAATTCAAACAACTGCAATAAGTGGACAATGAAATGTTAATCATAGAGTTTAAGGAAGAAAAAATTGAAGAAGCAATTTGGAAATGTGATAGTTAAAAAAGAGCCCACGACCAGACGGATATAACTTGAAGAAATTTTGGGGAGTGATCAGAGATAATGTCTGTAAGATTATTAATCAATTTCATTCGATTGGTAGGATGTATAAATCCTCCTTCATATACTAGTTAGATTGTTAGATCATATATACATATAGAAAAAATTGAATATAAATGTGGAACACAAACAAAAGGAAAGAAACATTCTGAACTAGGAAAGCATCACCTACAGCAGGTTCAATTATCCAGAACAGGATAGTTCAGTTGTCAAGAATTATGACTATTTTAGTTTTATTTGCTTTTACCTGTCCTAATTATACTAACTATTTAGTTCAATTATTCAAAGTTCAAACCAAAGGTGAAATTGAACGGGTAGAATGAATAAATGGGATTTTGGCTCTGCATTTACATTTTACATGGAAGCAGTAAATATGGTTTATCTACACTGGCCCAACCAGTAAATAGACTTTACTATATACCCTTGCAAAACTCAATTTAGGGTCCATGCAAATCATGTTTGGCAAATTTATTCAACCCATTGGAGTGTATCATCTACCAATTTCATTGTTTTTATATCTTTACCATTATAAGATACAATGAGAAAAATATGGTATGCGTTGGATTACTTAGTATCTGCATGATTAATTTATTATCACGAAATTAACTAAAGCATAAGGGAAACATCATCAAACTTTGACTCAATTGAACTAGTTGTCAACTTGAAAATGTCAGATTGCATCCTAATTCGGTTGAGTGTGGATAGAGGTTGAAAATATCTGATAACATCCTAATTCTGGTTTTGTAATGCTCAGTGTGAAGAAATGTAAAGGTGATCATGTGAGACTGAAATAACTTTAACGAGATGACGGTTTAAAATCTGCTAATTTCATTTACCATCTTTAGTATATTAGTTTGTCTAAAGTAATAAAAAAATTAAATTCGTTAAGCATTACACAAGTTTATATAATACTTTCTTATTATTTTGTTATTTGTTTTCTCAAAATTCGCTAAGTAATTACCTAAGTTTATGAGAGTACATCTTGGTTATGACCCAGCACACATAGTTGAAGAAAACCAAGAGAATTTACTGAAAAGATGATAAAGAAAAGATTATCAACACATAAACAACCATTAAGGTAAAAGATAGGGTGAGGCATGAGGGTCCATGGATCTAGGTTTATAAAAAAAATTATAAATAAGTATCCAGCATTTTTTATTTATTTATTAATATATTTTTATTATCTCAATTTTCCAGTAGATAACTTGAGTTTGAGATAGACTATTATGCATCATCCCACCAGTAAAGAGAAGTGTAATTAGAAGGATATATAACAACAGTTAAGGTAGATTTAACAATAGATAAAAAAAGAAGTAATAGTTCACTCATTTCTTTCTTTCTCTCCTTGCATAGTTTCTCTTCTAGTCTTTTCATGTAATACCAATCAAGTACTTAGTTTATTTATGGTTGATTCTTTTACGTTCCTCCTAGCAAAATTGTCCGGGCAAGGAGCTTTTCTGGAAAACAATACCCTCGCACAATGACCTTTTTGGTACAGGACACAGTTCCACTAATAGTGGGAGGGAACAATGTCAAACATCGATCATTACATTTTACGTAAGACAATGTAATGCACAACTTTGTGGAGTTAGATATGCAAACGTTACAGATAAGGCCAGTGAAATCATGGGTCAGGGAATTTTGAAGATAGACATGCATCTACGGCTTCAGCAACAGTAAGGAAAACCCATTTCTTTCCAACTTTATCCACAAAATGTGCCACTTTGAGCTTGTAAATCACTAGCCACCTCGGGTTCACCATAGCCAACTGCAAAAAAACACACCAATAGCAACACCCTTCAATTAGTTTTGTAGGCCCCTTAAGCTAAGAAATCATTACATGGTATGATCTAAGATGAAGAAATTCATGATCTTTATTAATCGTCTTGTGACACGTAACCATATTTTTAATTTATGAAAAAGAGTTAATAAAATTTGATTATGTGTCAAATATCAGATAATGATAACAATTTCTCTCAAGATACACATTCATGGCAGACTCACTTGCACGCCACGCGAAAGCAACCTCTTGTGCAGTTCCTCCAGTACTAGAATCCCAGAAGTATCAACATTCATGAGGTCTATCAAAGAGAATTGAGAAAGGGTCATTCATAAGGTTATAATAATAAATGCCATGAAATGCGTTATTAGGGTCATGAGTTCTTAGACTCACTGCTCATGTCCAAGATTACTGCATGAACCCTTCCCTTGCCAAGTTCGTTTTCTTCTTCCGTGACCCACTTCAGTATTCTGAAACAATTAAATAACTTCCATTTCAAAGTTTGGTAACTAAATTTTTAAAACTCTCCAAATAATACTCTAGATTAAGTGCTTGCCTTTCTCTAATAAAATTAGCATTTGCAAAGCAGAGTGAGCCAGAGCTTATGCGAATCACCAAGATGCCTGGAGTGCTTGTGGCCATAGGATATTGACTAACATCGCAAAATGCTTCTGTTCTTGGAACTCTGCCTAAAATTTCTATCCCTGGTCGAATTGATTGTATTAGTATCTTTGCAAATGAGATTGACACCTGCACAAACAAACTTGACTGTCAGAGGCACTATCAATAATTGATCCTATACCTGTTCTTTACCTTTTTACCTTAATTTCATGTAATGGTAAAGTGAAATGACCATAACTAAAAAGTGCTTAAAGATGGCATTACTGAAAAGACACAACTCTTGGCGGATAGGGAACAACAAATATTATTTGTGTGGAAAACGGTGGTCTCACAAGCGCAGCTTGGTTTTGGTCTCACCATCCTTTCATGAACTAAATTAAAGGGGAGATATATGCTACGCAGCTCAACATTGGTAGTTGATTTTGATTGGACAATTATATATAAATATCAGTCATACAAGCCAAGAATATATCGCCAAATTTGTGGACCAGAGTCTGGTCTAGAAGTCTGACAAGTAAGGAAGGTATGAGCAAGACAACACAATTATCAAGTCAAATTATTTGATGGATGGAACCCCACCTACTGGCAGTGACAACACCAAGCCTTTAACGTATTCAGAAATCATCTCACACATTCAACTCTATACGCTAGTTGCCAACCAAATTTATTGTTTAATGTGTATCTACCAGCGTGAGGGAAGTTGGGTCCTGTCCCTTTGCACAAATTATTAATCATGTCTACCTTGGTGTCTGCTTGTTGATCGGCGTCCATTGCCTAATGTTTGGTCTTTGCACAAAATTGTTTGTATTATTTATTAAAAAAAAAAAAAAAACTATTGATGCACAATAATGTTTGAAAGCAGTCAACTACTTACTGCAACAAGAAGACCAATTTCGACTGATACAAACAAGACACCGAAGAAGGCACCAATGCAGGCAAGAAAGTCATATTTGTCAACCTTCCAAATATAGCAAGCTTCATTTATGTCAATTAATCCAGGAAGTGCAGAGAGGATGATAGAAGCAAGTATGGCCATAGGAGTGTAGTATAGGAGCCTTGTAAACAATTCTAGACACAGAAGCACAGTAACTGCCATCACAATATTTGATATTGATGTTTGACATCCTGCACTGAAATTTACTGCAGTCCTTGAGAAAGAACCTGCAAATGTTTAGTGGAAACTATCAACAAATTTGATACACACAAAAAATTGTCACCAGAAGGAAAAAAATGTTCTTTCCAGAATAAAAAATACTTCTGAACTCTTCCAATTTTAATTCAAACTTGCAATGATTAAACAATTGAGAGCAACCAAAAAAAAAGTGTCACCAGTTGCTACATAGCACGAAGAGAGAGATCCCGCAATGTTCATACATCCCATTGCCAACATTTCTTTGTTGCCATCAAGATGGTATCCCTTAATGGATGCAAAAGATCGACCAACTGCTATTGCTTCCTGAATTTGACGTTCGTATTTCCATTAGTAAGACAGAAGTTAAGAGTTAGGGAAAAGAAAAGACAAATAAATTAACATACAGTGAGAGCAATAACGGCAGAAATCAATCCAATTTTAGCTGCTTGTCCAACATGTTGACCCTGGAATTGTAACTTGTGAACTGAACTTGGATTCAAGCCTCCTTTGACATGCTTTATTATATTAACCCCTTTCTTATCAGCTTTTGACAAATACACAATTAAAGTTGATAGTAAAACTGATAGAAGAGGAGCAATAGCTGGCAACCAGAAAAGTTTTTTGTTTCTTCTGCCCTGAAATCACATTCAGATTATCAGAATCTCAAATCAGAGGAAATATAGTGATGGAATAGGAATGCTAGAAATTTCATTACTTACAACATATCGGGCAACTAAAAGGAAAATCAGGAATGAACATCCGATGACAAAATTCAGAGGGCACCACTGTGAATGTAAAAAAACAAGGGATAATGTCAAATATAATGAAAACACAAATAAATTGTTCTTTCTAAAAAATGAAATTTATCACCCCATCAGTAGTTTTTTTTTTTTTTTTAAATATTCAATTGACTAATTTCCTTTGCTGAAAAAATAAATGAATTGATTAAATTCTCTAGAACATAAATTATTTAGCATAACCAACTCACTTTTTCTCCTGATGTAATTTGTTGATGGAGTGACTTGTATACAGACTCCAACACGGATATTACATCGGTTTTATTGGTAAAGTGAGTAACCCCCAGCAACCCCTTGAGCTGCTGAAGACCAATAATAATGGCTGCGCCTGCCATGAATCCAACAAGTGCAGCATGTGAAAGAAAATCCACGAGAAACCCCAACCTGCAGATTTGAAGAATAAACTGCTTACTTTATTAGGAAACCTACACATTCACAATAAATTTGACAAACAGATGAGGAAACCTGAAAACACCGAATGCAGCTTGAAAGATTCCAGCAAATAAGGTCACCGTAAAGACAACACTTCTGTAGGCATCAGGATCAACAGCAGGATCTACCACTTTGGGGACTAGGGAAGATAGAAGTAATGATACTACAGCTACAGGCCCAATTGCTATTTCTCTTGAACTCCCCATCACAGCATAGATAAGTGGAGGAACAACACTGGTGTCTGAATGCAATGAAAAAAATTTGAAACATGATATATCAGTACAGTATATAGTATAATATAATAAATATAACCAAAGTTAGACACCTACACAGGCCATACTGAGGATCAAGTTGTGCCAAATTAGCATATCCTATACTCTGCAACATCAAATAGAAAAATTAGAAGAGTGAAGAGGAAGAGGCTGAGAGGAAATTATTGTAATGTAATGTTCTACATCTGATGCATTGCCATGAGATTTGAAGTAACGTTTGTGAATATACACCTGAGGTATGCTGAGGCTGGCAAGAGTTAAACCGGCTAGCAAATCATTTTTAAACTTGGAGGCTTTGTAATTTTTGAACCAGGTAAGGATAGGAAATAAACTCTCTAAGAATGAAACAACACGTCCAAGGCAAGTTTGCTTCTTGGATGAAAAAAAAGACACGGTTTTCTTCAGTGGACTAAATAGATTGTTCCATAGAGGTGGTGGATTGGGAGGATTCAGCACCCAAAGGGACCTCTCTATTTGGCTAGTATCCTCAAGATGAAAGTGCTCCTGCTCGCTTACTCTCATACTGGGAACTGAACTCATAGTTGTTTGAAGTGTTTGGCTGAACTCTGTTACTTGTACTTATAGTGCATTAATGCAAGTTCAATACCATTTTATGTACGTCTCAAGTGTTGACAAGGGGTCAATTTATTTGGATGATTGCGTGAAAGGGTTTGCTGCAAGTCTGGATTTAAGCCTCTGCTACATGAGATGTTAGTTGTGGCTCCACTTTGATTGGCTAATCTCAAAAGTTGGGAATGTCTGACGATGAGTATGAGTCCTCTCTCTCTCTCTCTCGACAAGACTATTCTCATTTATAATTCTCACGCCACTTTTTCACCACTTTTCTTGTCTATCATGTTACTTTTCTCCTTTGCTTTTTTTTTTTTTTTTTTTTTTAATTATTACTGTTTATGATATACAAAATGCTCTAAGATTTTTATCCATCCCTTTTTAGGATCTGTATGAAACTCGATGGCGCTATAATCCACCACCATCCTACCATACTATGTGAGAAAAGAAGCATTGGAGCGGAACGTGCATGAATTTACCAAAGCAGATATATTAATAGAGTTGCTTTGGAAATTCATTTACTATATGCTAAATGAGTTTGGATCCTCTAGATCCATGCTATATGGAGGTTTTGCGTTTTTATATTGATTTCTCCTCGTTTAGAAATTTTAACATATAAGTACAAAGTATTTTTTTTTATTTTATAAATTATGCAAATTGATTTTCTAAGCTTAAATTAAAATTAAATGAAAATTTTAAAATATGTCAAGTTTTATTATAATAAATATTGAGTTTATCCTGTCAGCAGTTAACATTTTTACAGATTTTTAATATTGTAAATATGTTTAAGTGCTGAGGTGAAGATCACACATTATCTAAATATATAATTAAATTAATTTTATATCCAAATATAAATTATAACACGTTTCAAATTCGTACCCTTAGAAAGCATTAATTTCAACTTATTTGTACAAACACATTATTAGTCCTCCATTCAGAGTGTACTGTTGTCTCTTTATCATTATATTTTTATTTCAATCGGGTGTATTTTATTCCTTCAAAATAATAATCCGAGTGGATGAGTGCATCTACTTTTGGCTCTGCCTATTTTCTCCAGTTCAAAACTCTCAAAAAGTCTTATTTTCTACTCAATACTAACCAAAACTTAAAAATTAAAATTTCATGTTTTCAACATTCAATTATCACATTTTATTGAATTCTTCGAGTTTTTTCAAGTATTAACTAAATTTCTTAAATCTTAATTAAAATTATTCTATATCTTAAATATATCATAAAGCTCCAAATATTTGAAAAGAAATAAATTTGAGGGTTGAAAGTAAAAGAAAATTAGTAGATGGTATTTTTTTTTCAAATTTACATATAGAGAAGTTCAATTATTCAAATCTATTTGAGACTAGAATCAAGTGCAACTTAAATTAGAAAGACCAAATTAAGTTCATATTTTTCTTCCTATAATTTCACTTATGGGTAAAACGTGAACACCACAAAAATTACATTGATCCCAAAAAAATGAGAAAGCTTTAGCTAAGTTAACTAATATAATGTGGAAAGGAGGTTTCACATTTCCAAAATTGTATTGGTTCCAAAAACAAGGAGAAAGATTTGGTAAGTAATTGTTTAAAGGAAATGCGTTTTCATCTCTATGAAGCCATATAAAGCCCTAGGACAACGTAGCTACCAAACAAATTTATTCAAACAATACTTGTATATAGTTAGAGATGATGTTTGAGAGATGTGTACACTACAAAAAAAACGCTTATTATCTACGGGTAAAATCCGTAGGTAATGTTACTTTACCTACGGATTATAATCCGTAGGTAATGCACTTACCTAAAAAAAATATTTTTATTTACTACAAATCCCTCCCTTAATTTTTATTATTACCTAGGACCCCTCTCCCCTTTATATTATATTTATTATATTTTTGGAACTTTGAATTATTATTAAATTAAAGAAATTGTCATTGGCAGGATTCGAACTCAATACCTCGAGTTGGAAACCGATACTCCAACCACTAAGCTTATTAGGATATTTTGATAATAACTTACAAATAAATTATATTTATATTTATCCGTGTAAATATATAAATATAAAATATATATAAATATAAATATAAAAAATATATAAATATAAATATATTTATATTTTGATATATTTATATTTTGATATATTTATATATTTATAAATTTATATATTTATAAATTTATAAATTTATAAATTTATATATTTATATATTTATATATTTATATATTTATATATTTATATATTTATATATTTATATATTTATATATTTATATATTTATATATTTATATATTTATATATTTATATATTTATATATTTATATATTTATATATTTATGTATTTATATTTATGTATTTATATTTATGTATTTATATTTATGTATTTATATTTATGTATTTATATATTTATATATTTATATATTTATATATTTACACGAATAAATATAATTATAATTTATTTGTAAATTATTATTAGAATATCCTAATAGCTTTGTGGTTGGAGTATCAGCTTTTAACTTTAAGGTAATGGGTTCGATTCTTGCTAGCGATAATTCTTTTAGTTTAATATAATTTACCTACAGATAGTAATTCCGTAGGTAATGTAAAATTTACCTACGGATTTTTATCCGTAGGTAATATTATGTAGATAATATGGATAGAATTCTGTAGGTAATATCCGTAGGTAATGTACAATTTACCTACGAATTTTTATCCGTGGGTAATATCCGTAGGTAATGTAAAATTTACCTACGGATTTTTATCCGTAGGTAATATTATGTAGATAATAGACTTTTTTTTTGTAGTGGTAGTATACATTTGGTTCTTCTGTCAATCCCTTGCGACCACTTTGATTAAGTTGATACCAAAGGTGGACAATTCAAGTAAAATTCTTAAGATCTTTGTCTAAATTTATAAAACACTATAAAATTATTACAAAGGTGTTGGTCCCCAGATTAGAAAGTAGTTTTGTTCCAAGTAGAAGTAAATTGACAATGTCATTCTTCTCTGAGAAGTGGTTCATGGTAAGTCCAGAAAGAAAGGTGATGTACCTTATTACACCATAAAACTGAAAAATTATGTTTGTCATTTGATATAAGACTAAATTGAGGGAAAGGAAACATAAGGAAAATGTTTGATTTTATCATGTGTGATTAGTTGATGAAAAACATAAAATGGTATAATAAATTCTTTCATGTTCACTTTTTATTAATATCCAAAACAGACTCCATCACACACTCCTTATTTTTAAATAAAAAGGAAATGAAGACTAAAGAGAGAACTCTTGCGCAAAAGTTTTAACAAGAACTCTGGTGATCTTCTTTTGTTCATGATGGTAATTTTCTAAGTGAATAGAAAGGCTCAGCACCTAACTTGTATATTCATCTATCTAAGAAAAATTAGTGATGAGATTTATCCTTGATATTTTTCATGGTAAAATTCACCAACGCTTATGTTAAACAATAATTGAACGTGAGTTTGAAAAGACTCGTGCGATAAATACATAAATATATGGTTTAAGCATGAAGAGAGACTTTCTTAAAAGATTGCTATGACAGACTTATAAAAATTGTGTTATTTTCTTGTTTTACAAGTTGTTTAATTGATTGTAACTAAAAGATAGAACTAAACATCTTATCTGAGTTATAAAATAATTAAACCAAGAAAAATCATCTAAGTTCATGTGAGTGTTTAAGTCTTCATCTTCTGTAAACTGGTGAAGTTTTTAGAAGGATCTGTTAAAATTGTTATCACAGTTTAACTCGTTCTAATGGAAAATCTTGAAAGACAGATCATCGTTAAAGAAATTTCCCCTAACAAGATCACCAACCTTCAATGGAAAAGACTATCTATAGTGGCGTGATCATATATAGATATGTGGAAGATCATCAAACCAATAGATATATAGATATAGTTGTGAAGGAAAGCAAAGGTAGATTATACTAAAATTATTACAACATACTGCAACCTAAAATCAAAGTAAAGATTAACATTGCATGTGCAATTTTTTAAATCTGAAGATACAATAAGTTTTGCAACTTTTAAGACAGTAGAAGAGACGTGAGATGTCATCCAAATCACTTATGAAGGAATATAACGCGTTCAACTAAGAAAGATTGTCACCTTATGAGACACTATAAGATGTTCTTTTTTACCTTTCACATCATCAACACGAGTTTTCCATTCTAAATCAACCATCCACATATAACAGTGAAGATGTGTTCACCAGAAAGTTATAATTTTATTTTGGTCATAAATGTAGATGGGAGTTGCTAGGGGAATCTAGGTCATGTGAGGGCTTTATGGCCTCATCTGCATGGTAAAAGATGTTAAGGATGCACGGTTTTATGGTTATTTGTGTGTGTTCATAGACCTTAATGTGAAATTACAAACAATATATTCTATGGATTGGATCTTATTAATCACACTACAAGAAATTTTAATATTACCGACGGATTTTTGACGGATAGAACGGATATATCCGTCGCTAAATGTTTTACGAAATTACCGGTAATATTTTTATTATTTATTAAATTTATTAAATATTTTACTTATATAAAACCCCTTTCCTTTATATTTTTATATGTTTCAATTATTATCAAATTAAGAGAATTGTCATTGGCAGGATTCAACCCATTACCTTAGAGTTAGAGGCTCATACTCCAATCACTAAGCTACCAAAATTTTTTGATAATAATTTACAAATAAATTATATTTTTATATATTTATATATTTATATATTTATATTTTATATATTTATATATTTATATATTTATATTTTATATATTTTCATATATATATTTATATATTTATATATAATTAAATATTTATATATATTTTTATATAATTAAATATTTATTTTTTTAAATTATTTAATTTAAGAAATTATTATAAATTAATCTAATTATGATTAAATTAAATTATTAAATAAAAAATATTTAATTTTTTAATTAGTTGAATATTTACCAATTGTTAATTTATCGATGGAA